TATATTTTTAGTTGTCCAGCCCATTTCTTTCTATTTTTAGTAGAGACGGGCTCTCACTCTTGCTCAGGCTGGTCTTGAACTCCTGACCTTGAGTGATCCTCCCGCCTTGGCCTCCTAGAGTGCTAGAATTACAGGCGTGAGCCACTGTGCCTGGCCTATAGTTGCCTATTATAATTATCAGGGTTCTTACAGCTGTTGCGGGGCTACCATTGGCATATAAAGCTCATTTTGAGCAGCTTGAAAACTGAAAAAATATCACCCAGTTGTTTTTAAATAACCAAAGAAGGATTAAATGAGGAAATGTCAGTTTAGTTTTTTATCCTTTTGTTACCCATGAGGTCCGGATGTGTACGCTTTTCTGTGATTCTTTTCTTCTTTTACCAGTATCTTGCTAGTACTGTTTTTTTGTACTGTTTCCTTCCCTCAGTGAGACCTTTCTGGAAGAAATCATTTACATAAAAAAAAATTAAGATGTTTAGGTTCAAGTGAAGAAGAAAGTAAAAAGTAGAAAAATGTCTCTTAAGGCCCAAGATTAGATTCATCTAGACAGTAATTCTGGGTTTGGGGGTTTGATTTTTTTATTATTATTATTATTATCAAAAATCTGAAACTGCACAAATGTAAAGAGAATAGAATAGTGAATTCCCATGTAACCATCATTCAGCTTCAACAGTAATCACATAATCAAATTCTGTCATTCTTGTTTCAATTGTTGCTGCCCACATTTTTAATCCTGCAATGTTTTAAAACAGATCGCAAAAATCATACTGTCTCACCAAAAGAAGTTCAGTATCTATCTCTAAGTGAAATGGACATTTCCCCCATAACCGTCATGCCATTATCACATTCAGTAAATTAACTATAATTAACAAATGAATCATCTGATTCTCAGTCCATATTCCAATTGCTCTCGTTGTCTTAGAGACATCTTTTTACTGTTGGGAGTAAATCAGGTCCAAACAAGGCCACATACTGCATTTGGTTATTTCTCCGAAGTCTTTTATTCTGTGCTGTAAACTTAAGTGTTCTTAATTTGCAGTCCATGAGGACCTCAAGGGGTCTAGGAATCCATTGAAGCAGATTACAAAAGTTTGTACATAGCATTTGTCTAATAGGGCTGTGTGATGGAAAGTGCATAGGGAACCAATGGTGCACACTTTCTGGAGTCATTAAACAGATTGAGATAATTTTTCATACACAAAGATTTCTGAAACATGTCTAAAATTCAGTGGATCCTTGTGTACTTTAGGTCAGCCAGACTTGCAGGAAAGTATATGGTACCTTCGACTTTTGTCTTGTTTTGTTTTAGAAAATATGAAATATAACTTGCTGGAAAATACTTATTTCCACTAAACTAGATTTATTAAAGTAAATTGTTAATGCTGGAAATACCTTTAACTACCATATAATGTACTTGGTTAATTTTAGCCAAAAATAACATGGATGAAAAGATGGATGAATCAGATAAAAGAAAAAGTCCACAAAGCCCCCCAAAAATAAAAACAGAGCCTGATTCTGAGAAAGACGACGTAAAAGATTCAGATGCTACAAAAGGGCCCGACCAAAGTGAAATGGATATCTCAAAGATCCCTGAGAAGAAGGACCCAGGTAAGAGAGTTGAGTGTGGAGGGCGGCCTGGGGGTGACAGTGCACTGGATCAGGTTCTCACAGTGGGAAGGGTACTGCATTTTTTTGATAAAAGCTTTATCGAAATATAGTTCATGTACCATATAATTCACCCAATCAAAGTGTAAATTCAGTGGTTTCTGGTATATTCACAAAGTTCAACCATTACCACAGTCAATTTTAGAACATTTTCATAATCCCAAAAGAAAGCCTCATACCCAGTAGCAGTTACTTCCCAATCCCTCCCCAAATGCCCCCAGCCCACCAATCTCCTCCTGTCTCCATGGCTGTGCCTATTTTGGACAGTCCATATAAGTGGAATCAGATAATATGTGTTCCTTTGTGGCTGGCTTCTTTCATTTAGCATGTTTTCAAGGTTCATCCATGTGATAGCATGTATCAGTACTTTATTCCTTTTTATTTCTGAATAATATTCCATTGTGTAGATATGCACATTTTATTTGGTCATCAGTTGGTGGACATTTGGGCTATTTTCACTTTTTGGTTATTATGAATAATACTGCTATGAACTTTCGTGTACATGTTTTTTTGTGGACATATGTTTTCCCTTCTCTTGGAGATGTACCTAGCAGTGGAATTACTGAGTCATATGGTAACTCTGTGTTTAACCTTTTCAGAAACTTACATTGCCTTTTGTAAAAAGTAGTTTTTTAAAAACTAGATGAAGTAGATAATGTATGTGCCAAAAGATATTTTATAACCTTAAAAGACTATACATAATCATATATGAAGGTATTGGGGTATACAATAGCTTGTCACATACTAAGTAATTTTTTCATTATGGTATTCCATCATTTTTAGATAATAATCAGAATATTTAAATATTTGGAATATGTGTATTTTTTAACCTTTTATAAAGTTTACCCCTGTCCACTGACCAATTTAATCATATATCAGGAACTTTGATATATATAGATATTTATATTTGAGCTCTAGAGTGGAAATGAGAAATATAGGTATTTTTTGAAATAAAAATAGTCTCATGAATTCCTCATTTCAGCGTAAAAATTACATTTCTGTGAATGTCTTTTTTTTCACAGATGTAAAAGAACTTTTAGATTCCGACAATGATAAATCTTTCAAGGAAGAACCAATGGAAATAGATGATGATGTGAAAACAGAGTCACATATAAATTGTCAGGAAAATTCTCAAGTAGATGTAGTCAATGTCAGTGAGGGTTTTCACCTAAGGACTAGTTATAAAAGGAAAACAAAATCATCCAAACTAGATGGACTTCTTGAAAGGAGAATTAAACAGTTTACACTGGAAGAAAAACAGCGCCTTGAAAAAATGAAGTTGGAGGGTGGAATGAAGGGCATGGGAAAGACTTCGGCAGGTTCTCTGAAAAGTCTCTCTGAGTCACCAGTAACAACAAAAGCAAAAGAAGGGTGTCAAAGTGACTTACTTAGACAAGAGCAAAGCCCTAATGCAAGTAATGATAAATCTGAGGACTCAATTCAGGGGTGTTCACAAAGTGATTCCTCAGTTCCTGGACTCAGTGGTCCTAGTCATACCACAAACAAACTTTATCCAAAAGATCAAGTGTTAGATGATGTCACCATTCAAAGCCCAGAGACAAACTGTCAGAAACAAAATTCTGTTGAAAATGACATAGAAGAGAATCTCTCTGAACCTGCCAGTAAAGGCCAGGAATCCAATAAGATTAAAACAAAAGGAAATGATTTTTTTATTGATGACTCTAAACTAGCCAATTCAGATGATATTGGTACTTTGATCTATAAGAACAAAAAACCACTCATACAGGAGGATAGTGACACCATTCTTTCTTCTTCTAAGAGTACTTTACTTTCATCAGTACCCAAAAGTGCCAGTGACAGAGATGCCCCATCTCTTTCAAAAGCAATGGACTTTGAAGGAAAACTGGGATGTGACTCTGAATATAATAGCACTTTGGAAAATAGTTCTGATACTATGTCTATTCAAGATAGCAGTGAAGAAGATATGATTGTTCAGAATAGCAATGAAAGTATTTCTGAGAAGTTCATAACGCAAGAACAAGGTATTGAAGGCTTGGAGCCATTGAAATATGAGTTTGTTTCTGCTAAGTCCACTGGAAAGTGTGATGACAGGCTGCAGGGTAAGGTAACTGAAGCAAATGGTAAAAAACCAAGTCAGCAGCAGAAGTTGGAAGAGAAACCAATTAATAAACATATTGATCAAATAAATCTAAAAAATATCACTGACAAAAAGAATAATGAAAATCGAGAGTCTGAAAAGAAAGGACAGAAAACAAGTACATTTCAAATAAATGGAAAAGATAATAAACCTAAAGTATATTTGAAAGGTGAATGCTTGAAGGAAAACTCTGAGAGTAAAATAGTAAGTGGTCATGTTGAACCAAAGGTTAATAATATAAATAAAATAATCCCTGAAAATGATGTTAAGTCATTGACTGTTAAAGAATCTGCTATAAAACCATTCATTAATGGTGATGTCATCATGGAAGATTTTAGTGAAAAAAACAACTCGGAAACAAAATCATGTTTACTGAGTTCTTCAGATGCTGAAGGTGACTACCAAGATAGCCTTGAGACCCTGCCATCAACCAAAGAGTCTGACAGAACACAGACTACCACGCCTCCACCATCTTGCCCAAAAAGCAGTTTGGTGAACCAGGTAGAAGATATGGAAATTGAAACCTTAGAAGTTAAGAAAATTACTCCATCACCTATTACTTCTGGAGAGGAATCCAATCTCAGTAATGATTTTATTGATGAAAACAGTCTGCCCACCAACAGAGATGAAAATGTCAATGGAGAATCTAAAAGAAAAACAGTCATCACAGAAGTCACCACAATGACATCCACAGTGGCCACAGAATCAAAAACTGTGATCAAGGTAGAAAAAGGCGATAAGCAAACTGTGGTGTCTTCCACAGAAAATTGTGCCAAATCCACTGTCACAACCACCACCACAACGGTAACAAAGCTTTCCACGCCCTCCACAGGCAGCAGCGTGGACATCATCTCTGTTAAGGAACAGAGCAAAACTGTGGTCACCACGACAGTGACAGACTCCCTAACCACCGCAGGAGGCACTCTGGTAACATCCATGACTGTGAGCAAAGAGTATTCCACAAGAGACAAAGTGAAACTGATGAAATTTTCAAGACCAAAGAAGACTCGTTCAGGTACAGCTCTGCCATCCTATAGAAAGTTTATTACCAAGAGCAGCAAGAAGAGCATATTTGTTTTGCCTAATGATGACTTAAAAAAGTTGGCCAGAAAAGGAGGAATCCGAGAAGTCCCATATTTTAATTACAATGCAAAACCTGCTTTGGATATATGGCCATATCCTTCTCCTAGACCAACCTTTGGTATCACTTGGAGGTATGTACTTTAAAATGTATTTGGGGGAGGAAGAAAGTTTTAAAATAATTATCTCATAAATATCAAATAATTATTTTTTTCAAAAATGAGATAGTAGAGATAAGACAGGGAAGCATATATTTAATGGCCAAAGTTAGTAATGGAATTAAGATACAGGAAGCTTCAAGCTCAGCCACCTGGTAGGTACTAAAGTTTACTTAGGGAAAAATGTTTAAAGACTTAAAATTTAAGGGAATCCTTTAAAATGAAATTCAGTTGTAACTTTCACAAGACAGAAGAAACATGTCGGCCGGGCTCGGTGAGTCACGCCTGTAGTTCCAGCTACCTGGGAGGCTGAGGCAAGGAGGATCGCTGGAGTCCAGGAATTTCAGGTTGCAGTGAGCTATGATGACGCCATTGCCCTCTAGCCAGGGCAACAGAGTCTCATTCTGTCTCCAAAGAAAAAAAAAAGGAACATGTCAAATGTGATTGTTTTTGTGGTCGAACTTTCCAAGTTATTGTCATATATTTGCCCTGGGAACAAGATAATCACAGAATTGGATATTCACCAACTTGCTGGATGGAATATTTGTATTTTATTTCTATTAGATAATTCACAAAAACATAAGACATAAGGAAATATGCCTATAAATTTCATGAGGCTCATTATAATATGGAAATCTTCCTGATGTGATTTATTTGCAGGATAAGCATTTGTTTTGGAGTTCTCTGTTACTTTATGTATGAACAGGTAGTATCTAGATTACTTAGGAATTTTTTTAAACCCAGAAATAGTCCTAATTTAAAGTTTTCTGGGCACTTTAGGTTTGGGGGGTAAGTCATAAGTATGTAGCCTTGGCGGTTGTGTAATCATATAGTTTTATATTGGGAAGGGATCTTAGAAATTCTTATCTTTTGTAAATGTGCAATAATTTACGTCCAGCTACAGACAGTTAGGAATAGTGCCCAGTTTTTGTAAATCCCAGTCTGGTACTTTATTTGCTATATCACATTTCACATATTTGTCCTTGCTTTTACCTTTTTCATTGTCCTTGTCTTTATCTTTTCACCCTTATAATTGAGAAGGATGGGACAGAAACATTGAAAAGATAAGAGTTCTGGGAACATACTTAGAAATCAGCATTGATCTTAGTTGCAGTTAGATTTTGCTAGGAATCTGAAATTATTTCAGCAAGTTACTAAGCAAACTTCATTTCTTTTTAGACTTCATTTCTCTGTGTCTTTTAATATGTTTCCAATTTCTTTAAGTTAAAAATCACACTTTGTTTCCTTTATATGACAATCAGCTATTAGTAGACCAAAAAAGAATGTAAATAAGTGCTCTCTATAAAGGAATTCATTTATTAATACGACCATAGCTTGTTTGACCAAGTTTTTTATAACTCATCTTTTGATTTGAAATAAAGTATCATCACTCCATTACACATTCAATAGAGACAGCTGAAAAGTACAATTTCTCTGCAGGGCCTGCAATGAAGGATTTGCAGAATCCTGCAGGGAATCAAGGAACTCTTCATTACAATTCATGGATTTATAGGATTACTCTGCACTTTTCTGCTTTCTTCATTGAGAGCGGTCCCAAAATGTATCCTTGACTGTCCTGCAGGTAACTTCTTTCCCACTGGAAAAGTTACTATGTACAAATACTTTAATTAAAATGACCTGGCAGTTGTGGAGGCCAACCTTTCTGCTCGTTTGTATTCTGAAATGGAGGATAGGCTCAACTGGGAAGCACTCTCCTCTGGACTCTCCGGGAGAACTAGGCCCCAGTCCTGATCCAGTGTTGCTCAGGGCCCTGTTCTGCATGGCTGAGTTTCAGGAGCCTTGAATTATCATGTTTTAATATGCACTGTGGCACAATTTGTATTACCTGTTTTCTCATTTTTTTAATGGAAGGAAATACCTTCCTGTACATTTTAAACAGATATTGCCCTCAAATATATGCTAACATCTTAATTTGCTGAAACAAATTTTAGAGAAGCATAATCTCTTCTATCTAATGGAGGCATGGGTAAATACATAAATTGTTCTTGACTTTAGAATGCCTTTTTAAAAAACATATTGCTATTAAAAAAACATGCATGTGAAATATATTTTTATACTAACACTTAAATAAAATGTGTCTGGTGATTAGAGTAGGGGCTAAGAGCGCCAAAGGCACATGTATGATCTTTATTAATCTAATGATAAGGCTGAAGAATATTGAAAACTTGTCTCGTAGGCTCATTAGGACCTCCTTCCCTCCACGCCGTCTGTTCCCACGTACCCATTTTCCCCAGGCCCTGACTCTGTGCTTCATTATCACTTTGGACTGGCAGTTGTCCTCCGCAGTGCTGCCACAGGGGGATGGACATTCTGACTGAGCTAAGGGACTTGCTAGCGACTGCAGGGAGGGCCAGGGAAAGGATGGGAAAGCATTTATCACCTGTAGATCACGTCCACAAGAAGTACTTGTCTTTACAACCCATCCAATACTGAGTAAATCTCAGAGGACTTAATATACATAGCCTTTAATGCTCTTCTTTAATCCTTCGATTTAGTGCAGCACATTCTGGCTTACGCCTTCCTCTCTCGTGCCAGCTTCATCTCTTTCTGTACCTCCACACCCCTTCCCTCCAGCCATAACACACTGGATATGGTTTCTGGGAACAAGTGTGTGCTCTTACACACTTCCCTGCTTAGCATATATGTGCCCCTCACCTTCAGTCAGCCATCCTCACACCCTTAATTTGTCCTTTGAGACTCCAGCAAAACTCTGATCCCTGTCCCTGAGCCAAATCAGATGTCCCTCCCTTATACTTTTCTCTCTTACAGCTCCTTGAGAACAGAGACAGATGTAGTTCACTTCTATGTCCCCAGCTCTTTTAACATAGTCTAACATACAGAAGACACTCAAAGAATTTTTGCAGGAATGATTGAGCAGGCCAATGTAATGCATGAGGTGTGTTCCTTCCCTGGTGTTATTTCAGTTTTAAAATAGGGATGATTTAAAGTTATTATTTGACCATAAAGAGTGATTGGGGGTAGAAGAGAGAGAATGAGGATGAACTTTCTTTCCAAATAAATGTTCATCTGCCTTCTCTCGTGAGACTGAAGTTCCCTAGGAATTTCTGTGGGTGGTCTGAAAGCGGCAGACACTTGCCCTCTTTTGGGGCATCCCTGCATTAGTTAACATTTTTCCTCTAATTTAGGAGTTCTTTCCAGGTTAGATGATTTATAGTGTAATAACACAACGAAGAAAATCATGGTGTCACAAGGGGAGATGGGACGTTAAAAAGCTGCAAGAGCTTTTTGGCTAGAGCCTTGTCTTTCTCACATTGTCCATTTTTCCAAGGGAATACTAATAATAGAAAGCATTACCTTTCAAATACAACGTTGTCTAAGATTTACCTTCTACATCTGTTAGAGGAGAAAATTATTTTCATTTTATAGGCTTTATCTACACTGCAATCAACAATGTATTCATTTAAGTAGTATAGAAATGTCAACAAAGTATTTTAATTACACAAAGACCCTAATGGAGAACTGACAGCCTAAGGCTGCTTTAAAATGTTTTATAGTGAATTCCATTTTAGGACATGATATTCATGTAGTTAAATAAATTCATTTTGAAATGTGTGTTTAGTATTATTTTTTAAAAGAATGTCTAAAATGTTCAATGACTTTATACACGAAGCTTAGGAAAACACAAACATGGATGGGCATTAGAAAAACAAAACAAAAAAACCCACAAACACAGATTTCTTTGTCTCCTGATTAGTAACTAATATAGTACTACCTTTTTCTAACATTATTCGTTGTAGGATTGCAAAACAATACTAATGTCAAAGTTTTATTAGTATTCGCAGTATTCATCATCCAGTAGTTCATGTTTTGAAGAGCCACCATTTGGATACAAAATTCTCTGTCAATTTGGAAAAATCTTATTAGATTTTTAAGGTGTTTTTGTTTTGCCTTTTGAGAAAATTTAAACATGTCTAGGTTTTTCATTTTAGCAAAAATTAATCAGTTATGATTTTTCTTTTTCGGAAACTCCTCTTTCAGTAACATTTATTTCTCGGTGTCTACTCTTCATAATTTTCATAACATTTTAGAATTGAGTTAAATTTATAAAATTTTCACAAATTAATTGCCTTATCAACCTTACTGTGGGACACACTTTATAAATTTATATGGCATTTAAAGTGAATATAGACCCCTTTTAAGTGATAGATGCATGTTATGCCTATGAACAAAAAAGTTCTTTTTTAAAGGGACATATAATACCAAAGTCTTAACAAAACCATATTATAAATACTGAAGTCATAATGAGGACAAGGAACACAATCCTTCAGTTTAGTAAAAGAGTGTGTGTGTGTGTGTAAGTAAGTATATATATATGAATTTCTTGGGTTTTTCTTTCAGATACAGACTGCAGACCGTGAAGTCCTTAGCTGGAGTGAGCCTGATGCTACGGTTACTGTGGGCGAGCCTGAGATGGGATGACATGGCAGCCAAGGCTCCTCCAGGAGCAGGGACTACACGGACAGGTAATGGGGGTTACTTTCTCATTTAAGTTTAAAAGATAAAATCACTTGACCATTCACTTAATTTTAAGTGACCATTCACTTAATTTTAATTTTTGTTATTTATTAAAATAAAACGCTTGTATTTTAAAAATACAGCTTTGCTAAAATACAACACATGCTATAAAACCCGAGAGGCATGGGGGGGCTCACATTATAAGGTGAGTCACTTATTCATGAACCAGTCTACATTTTTTTTTAAAGATAGTTTATTATTGTAGAGTATAAGTCATAAACTAAGACTTCTAGAACCCTGTGCGTGTTGCTTCTGTCTTAGGCTTTTTATTATTTTGACTGAGTTTTGGTACCAGGAGCTAAGCTGTGCCCAGCAGCATTTTGTTCAGTTTAGAAATTTTCAGGGAGGAGGAAGTATTGTCGCAGTCTAGCAGTGATCCTGTAGTCATTAATGAATCAAATGTTTCCAAAAGTATTTTCCACGTGTCTCTTTTTAAAACACCAGATGTTGTACCTTTTTAGTCTCTGAGTATTTTAGGTGGTTATTAATACTTTGTGAATTAAATCACCATAGAAACATCTGAAAGTGAAATCACAACAACTGAAATAATTAAGAGGCGAGATGTTGGTCCTTATGGCATTCGATCTGAATATTGTATCAGGAAAATCATTTGCCCCATTGGAGTTCCAGAAGCACCAAAAGGTAAGGAATGGAAAGAATTCTGTTCTTCCATTATTGACCTGTCAGCCATATCTTTTATGAATTGAAATTTGATTATAATTGTTTCCTATAACTGTGTTCAACTTATGAAAAACATTTTTCATAACTGCTATATTTTTAAAATGATATTTAAGTAATAAACATATCAAGATTCTGTTAGGCACATGTTGATGCCTACAGGTATTATGCCAAGCATGGACCATGATAATACCTCTTATAATTAAAATGTGAGGCATTGATTGACTCCACACCATCAGCTCCAAGAGGGCAGCCACCTAGTCTGTCTGGTTTGTTGTAGTCCTGGCACCTAGTGCAGAGTCTGACATGTAAGTGGTCAGTCAAAGTTTGTTGACTCAAGAGTTAAAGCTATTGTGAAATACTTCAGTGCTCAGGTAGATATAATAATAATCTAGAGTTACTCAGGAAACATTTATAGACCACATGTAGAATAGGCGTTGAGTAGCAAGTGTATCTAGAAGAATGAGATTTGGCCCCTGTTCTCAAGGAAGCAAAGACAAGGTTATAGTATTATAATATCAAGTGTTAATGTGTTCCAATAAGATAAAAAAGAGTAATAAATGGTAAATACCAGAAAAGAAGCAAGATTAACACTATTTTGCAGGTAATTGTGAATGCCTAGAAAATTTGTGAGAACCAAAAGTATTAACGCTGAAAGGAGTTCATTGTGGATTCCAAATTGAAAATGTGTAAATAAAAGTCAATAATTTTATATAAGCAATAAAAATATTTAGGAAAAAATCTAAGAAATGTATAGCTTCTTGGGAGGCTGAGGCAGGAGGATCACTTGAGTGTAGGAGTAGCGAGCTATGATCATGCCTCTGTACTCCAGCCTGGGTGACAGAGCGAGAACCCGTCTCTTAGTGAAAAAAGAAAGAAAGAAAAAGAAATGTGTAAAAAGAAAATGATGTCCTTAGATAGAATAGATAGAAACATATTGTTTTATAAAAGCTAGTTCTCCCAAATACATACATTTAATTCTCGAAACTTGATTAAATTAACTCGGAAGTTCTTATTAGAAAACAAATGACTGAGAATGGCCTTTTTGAAAATAACACAATAAGACAGTACCTGTCCTAGCAGATGTTAAATTTTAGTTTAGTTAAAGCAGTGTTGTCCTGGAATAGAAACAGTCATCTCTGTCGATAGGCAGAGATGTAGATGGGAGAAGACAATCCTGACAGGTCTTCAATCTCCTTGACCACACAGCCTTCGATGCAAACCAGTGCAGTCTCCTTGAATCACTTTTCTTTGGCTTGTATCACTTTGTACCATCTAGGTCCTGCTATTTCAGTTTCCTTCTGCTGCTTCCCTATGATTGTACTGCTTCTCTGTACCCTGAACATATGGGAAGGTTTCGAGGCTTATCCCTCCCTGATTTTTTTTTTAAATCTTATCATTAGGAGGTTTTATCTATTCTTTTAGTTTCAGATCTCCCTTTATATTAGCAACTCTCAAATCCCCCTTGTCCAACTGTGATGGGAAAATATATATTACATGTGGCAAGGACACCCAGCCTAACTGTGAGAGGAGCATTCTAGGCCTTTGAAGGATGTTATATCTGAGTTGGGATCTGAAGAGTGAAATGAGGGGCCCTGGGGCTAAGAATAGTGTTCCAGGCAGAGGGAGCAGATTGTATAAAGACTCATATGCCTCTTATATCAGAGGTCAGCAAACCATGGCCCATGAGCCTTGGCCCACTGCCTGCTTTTTTATTATAAGTAAAATTTGATGGGAACACAACCACATTTACTCACTTAATTATTATCTTTGGCTCCTTTTCTTGATACAAAGGCAGAGTTGAGTAGTTGTAACAGAGACCATCTGGCCTGCATAGTCTATACCATCTGGCCCTTTAAGAAGAAAAAGTTTGCCAACCACTGCTTTTTATGATAGAAGATGCCAGAAGTACTCTAATTTTTAAAGCAATATTGCTTTTAAAATACTCTGATTTCTTTTCCAAAGAAACACCTACACCTCAGAGGAAAGGCCTTCGATCAAGTGCATTGCGGCCAAAGAGACCAGAAACGCCCAAGCAAACTGGCCCTGTTATTATCGAAACCTGGGTGGCAGAAGAAGAGTTGGAATTATGGGAGATCAGGGCGTTTGCTGAGAGGTAAGGAAATGGTTAACACCTGGTCAGATATTTGAAGATTTTATCACTTCAGAACTGAAGAGTTATCACTTTGATGGTTTATTCAGTACATCCTAGTTAATTTTACTCCACTTTTTGATTTTGACTGCTAGCTCTCTATAGTTTATTAAGGTCCTGTTTCTGATTTTTAATATGTTACTATCCATTTGTTAATTTCCAATTATCTTAAATATTTTTAAATTGCAATAATTTCATATCTTTGTATGATATGAAAGCCAGATTTCACTTATATTAGATGCCAGATGCTTAACAGGGTAGTTTCTGATAAGTTCCTCCTTTTTTTCCTGCAGAGTGGAGAAAGAAAAGGCACAAGCAGTTGAGCAACAGGCTAAGGTTAGTGAACAGAAGAAGGGGGAGGACTTCAAGGCCCAAATGAGGAGTCCCCTAAAACAGTGGCAATTGGCTGTCCAGCCGGTGGGGAGTTGGTACTGGTCCTACCTGACAACAAATTTACATCGTTAGCCCAATTCCTGAACACCAAGAGCACACTAATTATATATTCATGTGGGTTTTTTAAAATGTATCTCACGTATACCTGGTTTTTATTAATTGAAAATAGTTCTGTGGATACAACAAGCGATGGTTTTGTAAACAGCGTATATAGTTGGAGGACATGTGAAATAAGATTTCTATTTATTATCTTTATAATTTCATGGGTAATTTCTGGAAATAATTATTTCCTGCAAAATTCCAATCTGGAAAATCTCTGTAGTCTGTGAAAAAGCAGATTGTACTAAAGCTCTCTAAGAGTTTGTTGTCATCAATGATTATAAAGCTGCTGCTGATTTCTTAGCATGTTCATACTGCAAATAATGTACCATATGTGGCTGGGAATTTTAGACCCAGATAAAAGGTGATTACCCCTTATTTCTATTGAGAACATATTATAAAAGTTTTTAGCCAACTTGAATGTATAAACTTTGAGTACATAGGTGAAACAGACTATTTAAAAATCACGTTAACCAAATTATTTGTCTCAAACTATTTTTTTCTCTAACATTTTATAAAACATTTTCCCAAATTCTTACATATCTTTTGGCTTACTATATATAGGTCCTTATCTTCACTAACGTCAAATTGGACATAACAGCACTTTTGGATTCTATGTATGATGCTGTCACAGGAAATTTATCCCCAAGCACACATATCTATTCATGTAACAACTGGCTAGTTGTTTTATTAATATTTCTCACTTATGAGTGTATTTTGTCATCTCCACAATGTAACCTAAAGTATTACTTCTTAAAAGTTCTTTAAAATGCTTATTTGTAAAGCTAGCCAGCACTTCAATTTTGAAGGTTTATCCCCCAGTAAATAACTGCTAAATATGTGTTCGGTTTCTTTGCCTCCTTTTTAACTGATTTCATCAACGATGTCTCTAAGTATTCACAACTAAATTTCTTTTCTTCTGGGAAATGAGAAATTGTGTGAAGTACTTTATATCATATTCAAGTACATAAGGTGTATACAAAAGTTGTCCTAAAAAAACGATGGGTGTGATGTCATAGGTAAGCAATTTGCAATGATAGGAAACCACACAGCATTGGAATTTAATCTTAGTAAACATCCCAACTCCACCATTAGCGAGCTCTGTGGCCTCGGGCCAATTACACAAGCTCTCTGAGCCTCAGTTTCCTCATCTTAAAGCATCTACCACCATGTTTGCAGTAAATCTCACCTGTTGTTTTTACGTGTGCGAGCTTATACTGTTACTCATCAGACCACTGTTGATAAGCTGTTAGAAAATTGTAGCAGTCTGCAATAAAAGATATACAGATTATCTTTAATAACCCTGTAGTTTAAAGATCAATATTATACCTCTCTGTATAAAATAATCTAAAGTATTTTTCTGTAAAAGTGTTTGAATGAATAACATAAGAAGTCTAGTAAATTGTTTTATAATTTTCAGCTTGCTTGATTACGGGTTTGCCAACTCGAATAGTGATATTTGCTATTGACATGCTCTTTATGATTGGATAAGTCAACATTACAGTAAATAGAAACCTTTTACAGCTCCCTTCATTTGGTCTCTGCTTTGAATCGCACCACTGAGCAGCATGGTGTTCCTGTCTCCAGTAAGATTACCTGCATCTATTTATTTTCAATCTGAAAGCTTGGATATTTGCACAGGCTAGAAAAACTTGATTACTTTCAATTTTCTGTTATGAACAACTTAGTATTTTAATGAAATACATGTGGTATAGACACATGAAAACATTGCCTTCATCAAGACATTAAATTCAGGGGTAAATTTATATGGGCATATTTTCTTTTCAGAAGTAAAATATCTTAGAAATTGAGTGTGGTTTCTTAGGGTTAGAGAAATTGTGTCTGGACTTCTTGCAGAATGGTATTGTTTTTATCTGGAACTATTTTGGCTCATGTTTTCTCTCCGTGACTTTTTTAGAAACGATTGGAGCAGCAGAAGCCTACAGTGATTGCAACTTCCACTACTTCCCCAACAAATAGTACAACCAGTACCATCTCTCCAGCACCAAAAGTTATGGTGGCCCCCATAAGTGGCTCAGTTACAACTGGAACCAAAATGGTACTGACTACTAAAGTTGGATCTCCAGCTACAGTAACATTCCAGCAAAACAAGAACTTCCATCAAACCTTTGCTACATGGGTTAAGCAAGGCCAGTCAAATTCAGGTATACAACTGTGATTAAATAGAAGATCATTTTCATTCAGGAAAAAGAATTTTCAGTCCTTCACCTACTGAAATGAAACATCTCTTTAGAAAATTGTTTTTCTTTTCAGATTATTGAGCAAACAAGCTGTAACAATTGGTTTGTTACAGATAATGTTCAGAATATTACATTAGCAAACTCCTCTCTTACATTATTTCACTTTCAACATTTACATGGTTCACTTTGAGTGGAGAGGAATGTTTTTTATTAAAAATACAAAATGAGCCACATTTCATGCATTGGTGCCTTTCCTAGAAGTCACTACGTTGCTGGTTATTTTAAATCTAAAGCTTATTAAATGTCTTATACCCCATTAGCCACCAGCACAGCTGCCACATCTGCTACAACCATTGCCAGCACAGGTCAGACGTTCCAAATTACAGGCAATCCAGTCACTATGGCAGGAAAAGTAATTACCAAACTGCCACTTCCTGCAAACAGCAAGATTGTCGCTGTAAATGTGCCAGCAACACAAGGAGGTAAGGGAAATGTGAAGAGTTTTAATTCACATTTGCCAGATCATACTGTTGCCATTATTTTTCATTTCCTTTTCACTGGTTTCAGTCCTCGGATCTCACATTCTGTGTAGCCCACTATAAAACCCTGCCACACGTAGTTTCTCCTCAGAAACCAAGCAACACTTAATGCTTTTCATTGAAGGGACAGTTGTTAATCATTTCTTCATCTTTTTTAAGGTGTTGTTCAAGTACAGCAGAAAGTCCTGGGTATCATTCCATCAAGTACAGGTACAAGTCAGCAAACCTTTACTTCATTCCAGCCCAGGACAGCAACAGTCACAATTAGGCCCAATACCTCAGGCTCTGGAGGAACCACAAGCACTTCACAAGTAAGATTTCGTACAGACTTATTTTGTTTTGAAGTGTTGAGCACATCAGGTTGAAGTTTTTAGAATGGCCTCTTCCAAGATTAATCCAGCTAATTTTGCTTCCTTTTGCTTAATCTGTGATAAAGTACTAATTTGGAATAAACCTATTTGTTCTGTAAGTAAATCCATTTCTTATCTAAGTAAAAATGATACATGAAGTATGAATTTTTAACATTTAGTTAATAGCACCTTAGTAAGTTTATAAGTAAAAATAATTGCTTTCTAGGATTTTTATAAAGAAAATTCCTTTGTATGAAAGAATAGACAGCACTGGACCACTGAAGCTTGCTGTGCAGCCTAGTTAAGAAATAGAATGAAAAATATAATCTACAGCACTATATTGAATGGTTTGTTATTAGCTGATATGTGCACATATTGAATACATCATTTCTTTGGTACTTGTATTATGGAAAAGTTTTAAAGTTTGCAAACTTGAAAATGTTCTGAACCTAACTGTAAAACTGAAAATAACGTGCTCTCTAGTCTCCCCCTTAAAACTATGACAGAACATTTGCTTTCTGATTTACTCTCGGTTATAGGAGTAAATTGGAGCCTAGAGAAGGTAGGACTCAACATTTTTCTGTGACAACTAGTTAAAGAGCAGAGCCTTGCTGGGTCTTGTTCGTTCCTTTTAGTCTGTAGGCTGTTCTTGGTATCAGTGACAAGGAATTTTATATGATAGCATTTGAATTAAATTAGATTTTCTCTCAAAATTCCATCTTTATTCTGATGCTTAATATAATTTAAAATGTAATATCTAAGAGCCTCTGTCATTTCTATAGACATTTCTGTCAATATAGAATGTTTAAAGATCTTGTGTTCTAAGTCCATCATTCTGTAATCTTTTAAAAACATTTTAATTCATTGTCCTTTGTGTCATTTATAGGTAATCACAGGGCCTCAGATCCGCCCTGGTATGACGGTGATTAGAACACCACTCCAACAGTCAACACTAGGAAAGGCAATTATTCGAACACCTGTGATGGTACAGCCAGGTATTCATCCATCCAGCATTACCATTTTACATCTAAACAACCAGTCTAGGAAATCTGTTATATTCTGTATTTGGCACTCTACATACTATAAAATACCAATTTCAATTAATACTTGAAACCGTACTAAACTTCTAATCTATTGTGAGATGCATCCAAACATATTACTTCATTTTTGGCATTGCCAATAAGAGAAAAATAGGTTCAAGTATGCTTACTAAAAATGTAAAAGAAGCAGCAAATAAATGGAATATATAGATTCAAATAATTGAAGTAAAGAAAGCAAAGAAAACAGTCTATATGGCAAAAGTCATAGAGAAAGTCAAGGAAACAGCAAAGAACATAATTTTTACAAAGGCAAGGCCAGACCTCCTTTTATCACAATTAATATGAATAGGTTAAAATTACCATGTTTAAAGTTGAAGACTGTAAAGATTGAGAAAAAAAACCCTATACATATATGAGAAACATACCTAAAATCAAATTACCACAAAAGCGACAAAAGGTAAAAAAAATTAAAAGATGAGCAAGGATACATGAAATAAAGGCCAAAGAAGAAAGGACAAGGATAGACCTGATAATATTGGACAGAGTAGAATTCAATATTTTATTCATTCGTTAATTTTTTTTGCCAGGAATACTGTGTTGAGAAAGAATTCAATATTTTTAAAAAGCAGAAAATAATTATGACAAAGAGTTTCATTTTATAGTGGTTTAAAGCTAAAGATTGAATGAAAGTGTAATCTCGAATCATTATAAATTAAATAAGATGCCATTAAAGTATCTGAAGCAAAACTATTTGAATTCAAGGAGGAATTAACAGCAGCATAGTAGCCTACAATTAAACTGTGTATCAAGTTTTGTACTTGTTCAGAAATACACATTCATTTTAAATAGTCATGGGCTATTTGGTGGAAAAATGATCCTTGAGACATAGATAAAACCTTGGTAAATTCCAAGAAGTAGAATGTATATAGGCCACATTCTTTAAAATAAATCTAGAAATTAATATTAATATATTACACTAATAACCTTTACTTGCTTGGGAAATTTTAAAAATGTGTGTTTTAAGTAATTTTTTTTTGGATAACTTTTAGGTTAAAGAAACATCAAATATGTAATTGCAAATTATCAAATAGCAACATTAAGCCATGATGGCAAAGCCGAACTCAGAGGCAGATTCAATTCATTCAATAGATACTTGAACACCTACTCTCGACAATTGAAATGCATTAGTGAATAAAACAGACTAAAAAACCCATATTTTGAAGTCTTAATCACAAATTAGAAAAATATATAAAACAAGTCTTAAAACAAGGAGGAGGAAATAAAATAAAAGCACAAGTAATAATTATTAGAAAATAGACAAGGCAAAAAATGTTAACACAAACTATTCTTTTGCAAGTCTAATCTGGAAAAAAGGGTGGAAAATGCCAGTTCGCAGAATTAGGCAACGAAAAAGTGCAATAAAAATAGAATGAGCTTTTTAAAATCAAAAGATAATTTTGTGTAGGTGTCCTTGTAGTGAGACTTTCAGAATTCTCACTATCCATACTTAGGAACTAATTCTATTTGACTAGCAAGGCATAATGAAATACTGTGTTTATAAACTGAAAGTCTCAATGACTCATATCAAAGGAAGAAATTTGGAAAGTTGTCATAATGTTACCTACAAAAAGGAATCGCAGACTTCATGAGATTATGGGTAAAAATTTCTTTGAAATAGTTGGGAAACAAATAATTTCCTTATTGTAAAACCTAGTTCTGGGACATGGGGGAAGGATAGGTAAAACCTTAACCATTCGTTTTACAAATTTAGCACAATTCTAATATGAAACGTAGCAAAGCATTTTTTTCCCCACAGGCAGTCTTCTGTGCCTAAACAGCATTTAACTCAGAAAAGAAAGGAAGATTATTTCAGTTAATGCTGCAGAGATAGTTGATAAAATTCAGTATCTATTCCTGTTTAAAACTTACAGTTGTCAGGCAGCTTACTGAAAGGAAAGACATAAATAATGTAAAGGAGAAAATTTGTAGGTGATAAAAGGTAGTATACCTAGAAAACTGAAAAATCTGGTAAATTGCCAGATAAACTACAAATATTGGTAGTACTGTAGTTATATGGAGACCTTGTTGAGTAATGCCTTATGTAGCTGTAATTTTATGTTTGTCTGATACCGACACGTGAATCTACAGCTTCCAAACCTCCCCCACCACTACGGTTTTGCCACTTTTTTTCCCTGAAGTCTTAAATACCCAGTGAGAATGGGGTTTGTGAAATGAACTGCCCAACCCTGCCACCTGGCTATGCAGTGCTTATTTAATGTAATTTAGCCAAAGTCTACCTTTAAATAATTGATTCTTAGTAACAATGATGAAATAACAGCTGTAATACATTGATCATTTACTTTGTGCCAGGGTGTATGCATTTTATAGGTTGCTTTCACATAATCTTCATATAAAATAGGTACTTACATTACCTTCATTTTACAGATGAAGTTTTTTTGTTTTATTTTTTGATTTTTGTGGTTTTTTTTTTTTTTGCTAATTGAAACTCTGAATGTTGAGGGCTTTCTCAAGCTGTTACTCTGGGACTTAAAGAAGATTTGTCTGATTCCCAAGTACTCAGTACTAGTTACGTACCAGACCCTGTTCCAGGCCAAGATGACTATAGTTATGAACTAATCAGACAAAATAACTGCCTTCATGAATCTTATAGTCTAGTGGAAAAGGTAGACAATAACCAGATGAGTTAATTGTATATAATTTTTTTTTTTTTGAGACAGAGTCTCACTGTGTTGCCCGGGCTAGAGTGCCGTGGTGTCATCCTAGCTCACAGCAACCTCAAACTCCTGGGCTCAAGTGATCCTACTGCCTCAGCCTGCCGAGTAGCTGGGACTACGGGCATGCGCCACCATGCCCGGCTAATTTTTTCTATATATTTTTAGTTGTCCAATTAATTTCTTTCTATTTTTAATAGAGACAGGGTCTCGCTCTTGCTCAGGCTGGTTTCGAACTCCTGAGCTCAAACACTCCGCCCGCCTCGGCCTCCCAGAGAGCTAGGATTACAGGCGTGAGCCACCGCGCCCGGCCTAATTTTAAATACGTTATTATATAAAATAGCATATGAATTTTACATATATATCGTGTTACATAGTAATAACTACTTAGAAAAGCAGAGGTGGGAGATAAAAAGGTTGAAGAATTGGAGTTTGAGAATGATTTGCAGAGAGGGTTGAAATTTTAGAAAGGATGGCCACAGAAGGACTCCCTTAGAAGACCTGAAGGAAATAAGAGAGCTGTGCAGATACCTGGGGAAAGAGTTTTTATGAAGAAGAACAGTAAATACAAAGGCCCTGAGGGTGAGTGGGCCTGGTATGTTGAAGGAAAAGCAAGGTAGCCAGTGGGTCAAGGGCAACCAAGGGAAGAGGAGGAAGATGAGAGAGTCAGGGGAGTTATGATCAGAGAGGCAGAGGCTGGGTGGGTGGGTGTGGGGTGTGTTTCCATGTGTGTGCAAATCAGACTGGAACTAAACCACCTTCCTAGCCTTTCTTAAGATGGAGTCTACAGACCCCTGGGATATAGTTGGAAATTATTACATTTTTTCATTTGCATTTTGATCTAAAAATAAATTAACATGCACATATTGGGTCTCATCTGGATGACCATCATAAAATCAGTCAGTACCGGTCCTTTTATCTGTGTTTATCATGGCAACATATCAGTACCAAGTGATCACCTTTAAGTGATAACTTTTTATGTATTGTTTCGCAAACTACAGTACAAGGATATAGTGTTGGGGTATGGGAATTCTCAAATTACAGCACTTGACCACACTATGCTGTATTGTCTATCAGTTAATCTTGAATAAATGGATGAGAGTAACCAAGAAAAGTTTCGAAGGAGGAATAATAATGGAAAACTGGCACTGTCAGTTATATGTTAAAGCATATTATAAAGGCACCCAAATTAAGAGCATGATACCAAAGGAAGAAACACAGGTGCAATTAAAGAGGCATATATGAGAACTAGCTGTACGACAAGGTGTCATTTTGAATCAGTCAATGATACTAGAATAATTGGTTTATAGTTTGCAGGGGCTGGGGGATGCCAAATAGACTTCTGACTTACAACATATACCATGACTAAGAACATACTTGGGAGGATATATCTAATGAGAGAATACAAGAGAACTTTATAAACAATAATTAAAGCCAAGAAAAAAGACTGGTCTATTTGACCACATTTAAAAATATTTATAGGTTTAGAAATAAATAAAACTAAAAGGCAGATGGGAAACATACATTATTTAACACATTAACTGCCATGTGAGTTGTATTTAACTCACGCCAGTTTTGAGCTAGGGGCCTCATGAAGCATATGTAACTCACGCATCTCTTTACCTTGGGAGCCACGAGAACTATTTTTCAAGTTGCGTATAACTCACCCACAGAAAATAATAAAAAATAAACTTTTTATTAAACTAGAAAGGATCATTTTATTTTTGAAGTTTTAATTCTGTTTTCACAATAAAACGCTGTGGCCCAAAGGAAAAAGATTTTTTTCTAGTATGGCAGTGTGTTAAAAATACATATTAAATAAGTAGAAAAAGTAGAGAAATGGTCAGAGTGTGGAGAGAGTGTTCACAAATGAAGCACAATGACTTGAAACAGTTTTAAATGCCAACCTTCTGTAGTAATTGAGGAAATTCAGGCACTGTGATACCATGATGTTATTTCCAGTTGCTGGAATATTTTATTTTAGTGGTGATACCTAGGTTGGCAGGGTTCAATGAGATGGGCATGCAGAGATGTATGACCTCCTAATTCGATACTGTGGGCCTGCTGTGAACCCAGTAATATTTTTGGAAGTTTATTTTCAAGAAATCATCAGAAGCACACAAAAATGTATAAGCAAGGATTTCACCATGGCATTATTTTAACGCACTTCTGAATGTCAAAATAGATTCAATTTTATACACATGCAATGTATAGAAAACATCATGTAGCCATTAAGAGAAACAGAAAAATGTATATGTACACACAGAAGGAAAAGAGGCAGGAAGTAAATATAAAAACTCGAGGAATCTGATGTTACTCGCTTTTTTTTTTGGAGATATTGTCTCACTCTGTTGCCCAGGCTGGAGTGAGGTGGCATCTTCATAGCTCACTGAAACTCCTGGGCTCAGGTGATCTTCCTGCCTCAGCCTTCCAAGTAACTGGGACTACAGGCGCACACCACCACACCCAGCTAATTTTTAAATTTTTTGTAGAGAAGGAGTCTCACTTTGTTGCTTAGGCTGGTCTTGAACTCCTGACCTCAAATGATCCTTCTGCCTCAGCCTCCCAAAGTGCCAGGATTACAGGCATGAGCTATTGCACCCAGAGGTTATTGACTAATTAGTAATGAATCTGTAAATGTCAAAATAGCTACCAAATAATTACTCTTAGCAACTATTCCATAGGGAGGAAAATTCCACTTGCCTTTTTTTCTAGTTTTAGGAAGTTAAACTAAAAACAGAAGTTTTTGGAAGACTATAAAGCCATTCCGGTTAAACTTCCATTTATTCAGCAGACATTTATTGAACAATTACTGTGAAAGCATTCTTTGAGCACTTTGCCCTAGTATTGAGAATATAGTGGTCTTTGCCCTCATAGTTCTCCCAAACTGTCAAATAGCTGTAATAGAAGCTTATTTATAAATGCACTTGGCCCAGATACTCTAGATTCTTTATTTTGTTTAAAATTCATGTGAATTAAATGTTAAATTATCTTATATTCAGTATTCCTAACAAAGGGCAGCGTTATATATGGCATATTTTACGTATTCTCTTTTGTCTTTCTGATTGTCATTTTGGCTTTACATTTATAGGAAGAATATTAATTGTTTTTTCATTTGACTACAGAAAGCAGGGGCTGAATAATGGTTTTCAGTGAGCTGAATGAAAACAGGCTTACTGCCAACCAGGCAGGTCTTTTGGGTGTGAGCATATGTCTGAGTGCATCCTTGAGCTGTTGGCACCCCAGTGTCTTTTTGACAATTGAAAAGAATACATTCATCTGAAGTGCTGAATTATTTCAGTTCGAAATAATGCTAAGAGAGTGTAGGATTTCATAATGTTTTGCTGTTTGTGTAGGTACTCCGCAGCAAGTGGTGACTCAGATCATCAGAGGGCAGCCTGTTTCCACTGCAATCTCTGCCCCTAACACAGTTTCCTCAACACCTGGGCAGAAAAGCGTAACTTCAGCAACATCTACTACAAATCTACAGTCATCAACCTCACAGTCCCCTCGCCCCCAGCAAGGACAGGTGAAGCTTACCATGGCTCAACTCACTCAGTTAACACAAGGCCACGTATGTAATGTAACTTTATTTTAATGTATTTATTTAATGTATTTTAACGTAACTTTAGAGGCAATCTTACTTATCTTATTCTTGCTATAAGTTTAAAAACATACTTTTTTTTTTTAATTAAATAGATATGGGCTTTCACTCTTGCTCAGACTGGTCTTGAACTCCTGACCTCAAGCAATCCTCCCACCTTGGCCTCCTCGAGTGCTAAGATTACAGGCATGAGCCACCATGCTCAGCCTAAAAACATAATTATTTTGATAAGTTTAAAAATGTACTGATTTTGATAAGTTTTAAAAATGTGCTGCTTCCTGGACTCAAACAAAAATACTTCTAACATGCAGGATATAATAAACCTCAACTATCTAGAGTCCTTAGTGAGTTAATACCAATGAGATGGATAACCCTTTCAACCACCAAAATTTTATTAATTGGCCAATTTCCATGGAAAAATAAAATTTAAGTACATTAAGCTGCTGCTTGCAAAAATAAATACTGTTATCAAGTCTTCCAATATTGATCAATACATTGAATGCAGTTCCTTTCAAAATTCCAAGAGATTTTTTTTTTGGTGGAACTTCACAAGCTGATTTTTACAATTTGTGTGGAAGTGCAAAGGATCAAGAATATCCATGATATTTTTAAAGAACAGGAGGATTTTCCCTGTATGATAACCTAATATCAAAACTTATTATAATACTTCAGTAATTAATACAGTGAAGTACAGATGCAAAAATAGGCAGATAGACCAACAGAAGAGAGTACAGAACATGACCCCCACATGTGTGGACTCTTGTTATAACACAAAGGCATTCCAGATGATTGAGGAAAAGACAGACTTTTTATTTTTCGTAAATCGTGCTGGGACAACTGAATATATGTGGGAAACTGTGAAATTGGACCACTGCCTCACTTTGTATATAAACTCAACTTTAGCACACACAGGCACCACAGGTAATTTAGTACATACTGAAAAGAAACAAAATTCAGGATTCACGTCTCTTGGGCAAGAGACTTGACTTTCTAACCTGAGTTTCTTAATTGGGAATGAGATTATAGTAATATTTTCTCTGCCTATTCCATGAAGTCACAAGTCCATTGTGAGAATCAAATGAAGCAGTCAGTATAAATAAAGATGCTTTAAAATCAGAATTTTGTGGAGACCATGGTCATTCACTTCAGTGCCCTTGTTTTTTTTTTTTTTTTTGAGACAGAGTCTCACTGTGTTGCCCGGGCTAGAGTGCCGTGGCGTCATCCTCGCTCACAGCAACCTCAAACTCCTGGGCTCAAGCAATCCTCCTGCCTCAGCCTCCCGAGTAGCTGGTACTACAGGCATGCACCACCATACCCGGCTAATTTTTTTTTTTCTATATATTTTTTAGTTGTCCAATTAATTTCTTTCTAATTTTAGTAGAGACGGGGTCTCGCTCTTGCTCAGGCTGGTTTCGAACTCCTGAGCTCAAACAATCCGCCCGCCTTGGCCTCCCAGAGAGCTAGGATTACAGGCGTGAGCCACAGCGCCCGGCCGTCAGTGCCCTTGTTTTATAGATTGAGAAACTGGAGCAATGATGTTGCTTGTAGATAGATACCTGGCTGACCATTGGGAGAGCTTGACCTAGAACCCTGGATTGTTTGTGGTTTTTCCACTAGGCAACATAAATATTCTTATTTTACTTTACCTAAGTTTCTGCTGGTGCCATTTCATAGATATTCAAATATACATGTACATTATATTAAAGGATCTTTATAGTATAAAAATGATTTAATAAAAACACTACAAACTGGGCGTGGTAGCACACACCTGTAGTCCCAGCTACTCTGTAGGCTGAAGCAGGAGGATCGCTTGAAGCCAGCAGTTAAGGCTGCAGGACACGATGATCACGCCTGTGAATTGCCCCTGCACTTCACCTTTAGCAACATAGCAAAACCCTGTCTCTATAAAAAATTAAAATGCTGTACATACAGATTGATGTTTTGCATCATGTGACTATTTACATGTTGTGTGTTTTTTCCACAGGGTGGCAATCAAGGTTTGACAGTAGTAATTCAAGGACAAGGTCAAACTACTGGACAGTTGCAGTTGATACCTCAAGGGGTGACTATACTCCCAGGCCCAGGACAGCAGCTAATGCAAGCTGCAATGCCAAATGGTACTGTTCAGCGATTCCTCTTTACTCCATTGGCAACAACAGCCACAACAGCCAGCACCACCACCACCACTGTTTCTACTACAGCAGCAGGTAGAGCTTTGGGTATATAAGAAATACTAGGTGTTATTACCATACACTATTGGGCTAACAGAAGGGTTAAAAGAATCAGTACTTACAGCCTGAGCAAGAGCGAGACCCCATCTCTACAAAAAATAGAAAAATTAGCCAGGCGTGTTGGCTCACACCTGTAGTCCCAGCTACTTGGGAGATTGAGGCAGGAGGATCACTTGAGTCCAGGAGTTTGAGGTTGTAGTGAGCTATGGCAATGCCACTGCACTCAAGCCTGGGCGACAGAGCAAGACCCTTTCTCAAAAGAAAAGAAAAGAGAAAGAACGAATACTATCACCGGGAGGATATACCTCAAGCCAGGGAGCTTAACAATTGACATAGTCAGTCTCATAACATCTTGATGCTTTCATGCCTTATTCGTACAGACTCCCTGTTACCACCACCTCTCTACCCACCTTTGTTAAAAAAAGATATAGAAAGGGGGCAAAAACAATGGATATCATGGTAATCATGCTCACACTTACTCCTTGCCAAGCCTTGTAGATGCTAATTGAGTCGTGGAGGAGATCTCAGGGAGGGCAGATATATCCAGCTCATGACCTGCGATCGAGAGCTGCAGGTCCAGAACCACTTTGTTAGCCTCCTACTGCAAGGCGTCACTAACTGTCACCATGCTGTAGAAGAAAAGTGAGCCTTGGCAATTAGTCTGGGCCAGAAGACCTGGCTGGTTTCCAGAGGTTGCACCTTGTTTTGGAAGACAGCCCTCTGGAGAGTTAGCAAACTGTACAGAGGACAGCCAAGAAGCAGGGCCCAGGCTCCCCAGTTTAGAAGAGTCCTACCCCGAGCATGTCTAAATGGAGCATTTTTAAGTCATAAATCTTCTATACTGAAATAAAGAATTCTGAACTGTAGCAAACCCCATCACATTCTTCTTTAACCACAGTCTTATGTTCTGGAGTAATAGAAATGGTTTGTCTTTCCCTTTCATAGGTACGGGTGAACAAAAACAGAGTAAATTATCACCCGTGACACAGGCGCAACAAGCCAAAGCGCCGCCAGCAGCTCAGTCGTCAAGTGTGAGTCCTCCAGAAGCCCAGCCACAGACCACTCAACCTCCAGCTCAGCCCCAGCCCCAAACCCAGCCCCAGTCCCCAACTCAGCCTGAAGTTCAGACTCAGCCTGAAGTTCAGACCCAAACAACTGTTTCATCCCACGTCCCTTCCGAAGCACAGCCCACCCAAGCACAGTCATCCAAACCCCAAGTTGCAGCACAGTGTCAGCCTCAAAGTAATGTCCAAGGACAGTCTCCTGTTCGTGTCCAAAGTCCACCACAGACTCGAATACGTCCATCAACTCCATCCCAAGTGTCTCCTGGACAGCAATCCCAGGTTCAGACTACAACCTCACAACCGATTCCAATTCAACCACATACATCTCTTCAGATACCTTCCCAAGGCCAGCCACAATCACAACCCCAGGTACAGTCTTCAACTCAAACTCTTTCATCAGGACAAACGTTAAATCAAGTTACTGTTTCATCCCCATCCTGTCCTCAGCTACAAATACAGCAGCCACAGCCCCAAGTCATTGCTGTGCCTCAGCTGCAACAACAAGTCCAGGTTCTCTCTCAGATCCAGTCACAGGTTGTGGCTCAGATACAGGCTCAGCAAGGTGGTGTGCCCCAGCAAATCAAACTCCAGTTACCTATTCAAATTCAGCAAAGCAGTGCTGTGCAGACTCACCAGATTCAGAATGTGGTTACAGTGCAGGCAGCCAGTGTGCAAGAGCAGTTGCAGAGGGTTCAGCAACTCAGGGATCAGCAGCAAAAGAAGAAACAGCAACAGATAGAAATTAAGCGTGAACACACCCTCCAAGCTTCTAATCAAAGTGAAATCATTCAGAAACAGGTAAAGTTATTAAGTAAAAGCAGCATGTTCAGTAGCTTGAATTATTGTGCTGTGCATTAGACTTAGTGTTTGGTTGTGTTAGGTTTCCTAACTGAGACAAAGTCATTAATGTTTAAATTTAGAAGAAGCTCTGGATTGACCAAAAAATATTGAATGACTACTATGGTTTGGAACTCTTCATTGGACATACATATGTAGTCAGTGCTTATTAGAAACTGCCTGTGTTTTGGGAGGACTAAGATGGGAAGCATGGAGTTAGGAGTTTTAAGTATCATTAATGTAGAACTTGAAGGTTTCACTAAGTTTTAAAGCCACTTCAGGCATCATAGCAATTTGTTTGAAGTTGTCATTTCTTAGTTTGCATGTAGACTATGCAAATTATAGACAGATTAGACTCATTTGCATTTCTAGTCACATATTTGTGAAAAAGTTTTCAATACATATTATTCCATAGCCTAAATAAAGAGTGGCATCATGCAGTGGCATCTTGCATTGGCATTTTAGTGAAGTAAGGTAATTTAGATGAGTTAGAATGAATGATTCTACTAAAATCAAGTCACATAAATAATTCCCTGTAGCATTACTGGAGAAAACTTTCTCTTTGTTTACAGTGTGCTCCACTCAGCACTAGGCCGGAGTTTGAGTGTGGATTTCCAAGTCATGAGACCTTCATTCAGTTCCTTCCTCTTCCATTCACAGTCCATGAAACTCACTTATCTCCCCTGAGCTATATCCTCATTAAAACCCCTCTCTTTCCAGCCACACAAGATTACTGTAATGATTAAATGAGCTCATATATATAGAAGCACTTTTTAAACAGCAAAATGATTTTAAATATGTAATATTCCTGTAAAATTGGTGTCATATGTAATATGTTTAAATGCATTGTTACCCAGCTTTCAGTACTGTAATCTACCAGTTGAGAATTATTACAGTATCCGTCTATCCCCTGATCTTTGGGTAAGGGGGGATGAGGGGCAGCTCTTTAAAATTAATGCCTGGGAGGAGAACATAACATTAAAAACATGGCCTTTGGCGAACAACAGCCAGATTAAAATTCCAGCATATTATTTACTATTTAATCTCAAACAAGTTGGTTAATTTTTTTATGTTTCAGTTTCCCATTTATAAAATCATCTCTATGGTTCAGTGTCTTTTTGCGGAATAAATGAGGTAATGTCAAGTGATTAGGTCAGCACAGTGCCCAACACGTGGTAAGCACCCAGACCATCTTGTAGCTGCTAATTTTATTTGTATTATGATATAAAATTCTTAAAGGTTCTTTGAAAAACACATGTATGTGCTCAGATTTCTACTGTTGTTACGTACGTGCTAACTTGTGAACATTATAAAATATGTGCTTTTGGATTTGTTCTGTCCTGAAGGTGGTGATGAAGCATAATGCTGTAATAGAACATTTAAAACAGAAAAAGAGCATGACTCCAGCTGAAAGAGAAGAAAATCAAAGGTAGGGGAGATGGGGAGACACAGGGTCTCGTCTATTCATCTCTTCTCGTTAGCATCCACGTGCACAGAGTTTTGAGTTTATACCTTTTTTTCTTTTTTACCATAATTGAAGTTCATTAAATGAGAGCACTTGGCACTAATAGTTACTCATAACTGGCTTGAATCACTCTTGGAAGGTTTCCAGTCACAGAAAGTCTGTGTTTCATCTGTAGAGGTGTAGAAGAATCGTATTTTAAGCCTTTCATAAACACCCAGTGTTACATAGGTGTGTGTTTTTCTCTAGAATGATTGTCTGTAACCAGGTGATGAAGTATATTTTGGATAAGATAGATAAAGAAGAAAAACAGGCCGCAAAAAAACGGAAGCGCGAAGAGAGCGTGGAGCAGAAGCGTAGCAAGCAAAACGCCACCAAGCTCTCAGCTCTGCTCTTCAAGCACAAGGAGCAGCTCAGAGCCGAGATCCTGAAGAAGCGGGCGCTGCTGGACAAGGATCTGCAAATCGAGGTGCAGGTAAGGGGCACTTCCTTTCCTGCTGTGTCCAGCTTGCAGCATCCACGGTTCTTCTTTTTTCCCTTGACTTTTTGCTTAAACTTAAAATTTGAGCTTGTTTTCTGGAATTTCCATTTGTGTATATAGAGTACATAGAATAAAAAGCAGTGGGACACAACGTCTTAAAACAAGACAAAACTTTTATATCTAAATGTGTAGTTATAATGTATTCTCTCGACTAGCCACTCTGAGACGTGTCGATTAAATTGTTGTAGAACTCTGTTGGAAATGGCTTTATTGTATATGACATAGTCTTGCCAAAAGTCATTTAGGAGCCAAGTTTCATGAGAAAGGTAGACAAGACTTCAAATGATGTTGAAAGAATGAAAAAGTGTGCCCATTAAATAAGACAGATTTCTTCCTTGTAACTGATTTCTGTAGGCATTATTAATCTGCTTTCTTGGAGAATTTATTGAAAAATGAAAAGACATCTATTCACACATATTTACACAGC